GGAAAGAGTTGACTTGTCATGTAAGTTGCTATACATACAAAAATATATAAATGACTAGCAAAATGATTTTTTCTAAGATACTCAGAAGAGTGGGTAGGAAGAAAATAGAAAACGCAAGTGCTTGTGCAAGGAGATCTTCAAGGGTGATGCTATCAAATCTCTTTGTTAATTTCTTTAGAATAAGAAACACTACAGAATGTAAAGTTCAAAAGAAAGGAACAGCTGCTGCACTATACAAATATTGGCAATTTCTTAACTTTCTCACAAATAAGAATTTAATATGTATACTTCACATATAATAGTTGGCAATAACAATACTGATGACCCTACCTTGAACTTGTGTTCAAGCAAACATTTACTGTGAAACTATTTAACTCTAATTATAGTTCAGCCAGGCTTTCCAATTGCAAAGTGGCAATTATTACTAAAAGGTCAATGATATAGGAAGTAATTGTGCGTATCTTTAAAATGATTTTTATGTTAAAAAGTATATGTGAAGAGTGAGCATGCACTGGAAGTGTAAAAATACAATATATTATAATCGAATGCTACTAGTGAAATCTCATATTATACTAAAATTGTATCTTTATAATTTAAACAATTCAATTAACAGATTATTTAATAGTTTAGTCAATCATGATTGTTTAAGTATGTACTTATCTAAGATGCATCCTTAACAACCTAAATAATACATGCATCCTTTCAGAATTGTTTGATGAACCACACTTGATACGTGTTTCAATAAGTACTTAACTTAAAACATAGTTTGAGTGTTAATCATTTTAACTTTTATTACAATTCTATTCATTGTATATTTTTGTTTCTTCCATTTTCTAAGATCTAAGAAGCTCACGATTTGCCATTTTAATAAGATCTGTATAAATGCATTTAATATTCAAAATCTGACTTGTTGTCAGTCCTAATTAAAGTAAACAAAGCCTTCCAATGAATGAATTTAATTACATCGAAACTAGTATGTCTAACTAAGATGAAAAAGCAAACGAGTGCAATCTAATCTCAGCAAAGAATATTTATGATTATAAGCTTTGTCAATAGCAAAGAGCACCAACTGTTCATATATCTGACTTCCAAGAGATACATGAATGCTAATCAGTTCATTAGAGGCTTCTAGGTTGTGATATTTAGCGACAGGATGTAGTAGCTTTCTTGTCCATGGAGTATAATTGTACTCAGAATGAAAAATTGTTTCCAACAAAGTATCATCCTTCCTGCTTCTGATTTCCTGCTGGTTGCTTTTTATGAGCTGCATACCTTTCAAGAGGCCGACATCATTCAGCTTCTTGTGTCACACAAATACAAGTATGGATATGTCCTGAGACTGGCTGCTGAGCAGGACTCTACAACCTTTACTCTGAGCTCAGGAGTTCATCTCAGTGCCAGAAACCTGAGCTTCATAATTAGTACACTCACAGTGTTTTATCAGAAGCCTCAATAGACGCAATATCTTTTCTAAGATGCTTCCTACCTATATGGAACAATAAGTACTTCAATTAACAGTACTTCATGACAATAATAAGCTGTTATATGTGAATGTTATAACATGATAACTGAGTAAAAAGCTAAGAAATGATGAAGCTGATAGTATACTCCGTTCAAGGGAGAAGATGGTACAGAAATATATTTTTGATAGATATCGACCTCATTTCTAGTTTAATTTTTTTTAAAGTTTTTAAGCTTCATCCAGTATAATGATAAAGGCACCCTCCCTAATAAAAGAATAAACTAGATGGGTAGGAAAGATAGATAAGGAAACAAACACACATTAATCTGCAATGATTGTTGCTGGAGTGCATTTTATGATATTTCTCAACAGAGACAGTGAAGGTAGCTAAAACTGAACTAATTCACAATTAAGCTGAAAGCATATACACAAAAGCTATGACAAGCCCAATAATAATTCTGTGATTCACTAAATCTCAGGGGAAAAGAGGTAGGAAGATAAATAGTCATTTTATTTCAAGTACCTCAGTTTAAAACAAGTATTAGAAAGTCTATTTAGGAAAGCTCATTTTAGAAGTGAGCTATCCCTTCATAAAGAAATAGAAATTTACGTACAATTTTAATAATGCATTGTTGTAACAATTTATTACAACACAAAAGACTTCAGTCTCTTAATTTTGCAGAATAGTTTCCAAAAGAACTGAACATTAGTTTCAGGAAATAAAAAAAAAAAAAGCTTATTACTTCAGTTACTCATTAGATATTAAACTATGAAATTAAATAACAAAGATAATTTAATGCAAAGAAAACCTTAAACATGTCACCAGCTCATGCTATTAACTGTATATAAACATTTGTCAATTTTATTTTGGGTTAGGAAAACACCTACATAAGTTGTGACTATGATAGACTCCATTTGAATTCTGAAATCATGCAGCATTTGCAAGAATAAATATATGAGTTTTATGGAGCACAAGTTAATTTCTAATATACATCAGCCCTTGAAATCAAGTTGAGTAGTCACACCAGTTTATGAAGTTTGTACATTTCTTTAAACATTTCAGTAGTACCTAAGTCATATCATGACTGAATTCAAACTTCCTCAAACTGAATATTAATACTCTGAATTTATCACAACATAGAAGAAAATAAGGAATAGAGAAGAGAAAAATAAGGAATAGAGAAGGGAACAAATTCTTTTTCAAGGTAAAAAAAAACAAAACAGAAATCAATAGAAATACATTTGTATATTATTCTGATAAACTGATAAATTTCCCCACAAGAACTTAAAGGTTAAACTTTCCAGAATTTGGCATACAAAATGATTTCTGCTTATGTAAATCTACTTAAGACATTAAATAAATTGTAATTCTAGTTGACTAGTGACTTAAGTTATTTAGATATCAAAAGGATATGGACATCTTTGTCACAAACTTGTCACATAAGTCCTCAGGAGGGGGAAAGGTTTCCAAATCTTTCTCAAGCTGTTGAAGCTGCCTTCCCATCTGCTTCAAATTCTTTTCCAGCATTTCTACGGAGACTAAAAGAGAGTATATTAAATGCCTTGAAAGGGCAAAATTACAATATATAAAAGGTAACACACTCTAGAAACAAAACATTTGTGAAAAACCTCATAATAATAATGTAAGACAATTCACTACAAAAAAAGAAAGATGAATTTCACAGACTTCTTTTAACCTTTGAATTTTCAAATCCAGTTATAAAGGAAACTAGGTGAAATATTCTTTAAAACGTTAGAACAAATTTAAGAAATGCTCACAGGAATGAACTATCTTTAAGAAATGTTTGTTTCAAATTAGAGCGCTTGACCACTAGGAATCCTACAAAATAATCAGTCTATACAGATACAAAATAAAATCAGTCTATTCCTATAGCGTTGCAAAGAATAACTGTTGTAAAAATTAAACCTATTTAAGTATTATTATAACATTTTTCAAAATAATCTCTTGAGAAAGAACAGTGAATAGAGGAGGGATATGGGGAAGGGCATTACCTGTCCTCTAAACTTATCTATGAAAGGAAAGAAAAGGCATGAGAAACTATTTACAATGACAAATGTCAAGCTTTCTTTACCGGTACCCTGAGTACAGTCTGTGTTTATCATCTAGTAATATTTTCCTTTGACTTAGAGATGCTCTCACAGTGTACATGAAGAACAAACGGTAAACCAGGTCACTGAGGAGCTATCAGAATGTGGTGGCCACTCAGCAGAACAGACATTAAGGATCCTTTCCCCAAATCTTTGCATAGTTGATTTTATAGGATGCCAGGAAAAACAAGTTTACAATACATAAAGAAGACACAGTGGCCTAAACCAACTTTTCAGAGGTTTGTTTCAGCATCAGATGAATTTCAGTTAAATAAGAAAACTTTTCACTTCAAATCAATGTGAACTATATAAAATGACATTTACAAAATGAATACAGTATTTCAAGGTAATCTGCCATTTTCAGGCTTTGAATTAATCCTAAGGATTGGGTGCAAGTCAAGTTTCAGCTGAGAGTATAGTAAAATACTTGGAAACAACCTGAATACCCAACAAAATGGGACTAAGTTTAAAAATAAAATAGTTTATAAAGAAGAGTAAGGAGGCATAAAAATTTATGTTAAGAGGATGGAGTACCATTTTGCTTTGTATTGTTTCTTTAGCTGGACACAAACTAGAACTTGCTATTCTAACAGACATTAATAGTTCTTAATAAAATTTTATTATCTTTGGTATAAAAATTAGTAACGTAATTCTCAGATACAATGTTTAATGATTCCAATGATAAAACTCTTCAGAGAGCCACATTTAGTAGTTTGTGCCTGAGTGATGGTAGTTTAACCTTGAGCCAAAGTCATTCTGAAGTGATATATATAATATATGTATATATATTATATGCATATATGTATTATATATATTATATAATATATATTATATAATATATATACGTATATATAATATATATACACATACATACATATATTTAATATATTACTCCACATCTATCCCATTTCTGTGATTTTTAACACTGAAGTGATAACTCAGATAATAGGATCTATGAAATGTTTCCATCATGGTAGCATTTTGTGTATTAATTCAATCTATTTAAGTCATGTCTCCAATAGCTTACTATGCACTGTTCATGTTGGCAATACATATTTCCTATGTTATGCTCTTTCATTTTTATGTCTACTTGTCAATTATCCACAACCAAGAAGTCTATTTGATTAGACCTATGGTGTTTCATTTACTCAGCTCATTTCCATTTTTTTTCTTCTTTCAAAGTTCTCTACCTGCATTACAGAAGAGATTCTTTCTACTCTCCTAGTCTATTTGATGTCTCCTCTAGTGTCTCATTAGCATTGCTTCTATCATTCCTCAAGAAATCTTATAGGTGGTTCAGTTACTTTGCACTTCCTTAAACTCTGAAACTTCTGATTAAATAAAGGCTTAAAACACATAAATTTCTTTTATTTTGTAAATGTGTGCTCAGAAAAGTTTATAGACCTGGAGCTAGTGCAGATTCCACAAGTTAAGGAGAACATCCTTTCAATTCTGATACTAATTATTTTGATTTAGGGTAAGTCTCAACAGGTACAAGGGCTCAGTCCCACAAGACCATCCTTATTTTCAGATGCCAGTTGCCATTCTCAAGGGTTCTACATACTTCTGGTTGAGTGGTTATAAATTTGAGGATTTCTACAATCCCCCTCCCTTAAATAATTCACGAAAATGAAGAATATCACCCAGGAAAGTGATATACTTACTATTATTAAAGGATAGAACTTAGGAACAGCCAAATAGAAGTGTAGGGCAAGTAGTGGAGGATTGAGGTAGTGGAGAGCTTCCATGCCCTTTGCTCCCAGCACATCTGTGTGCGTGCTCATCAACCTTGTTCCAGTCTCTATGTAGCTTCATTACATAGGTATGAGTGACTAAATAATTGGCCATTCACAAGTGAACTCAATCTCCAGGCCCTCTTCCATCCCAAAAGTCACGGGGCGGGAGCTGACAGTTTATATCCTCTAATTATATATATAGTGATTAATGTTAATCCTCTAATCATAACACAAGATGAAGAATTTATTTTTTTATTTGCCAAGGATATGGGCACTCACCCGAGAGACAGACAGAAAGAGGGAGAAGGAGATAGTATCCCCTAGTGGGATGTGGTTATGCTGCCATCTCTTCTCCATTTCTCCACTCTTGTCAGAATTTTGGGCATGCATGCACACATGGCCAGTGTGTTTTTCAAGCTGTTGGGGTCGGTATTCCAATCGTGGGGTTGGCCATGTGGGATCCCACTGCTTTAACCACCAGTCCTTGGAGCCAGTCCAATATATATTTTTTTAAGAGTACACCATGCTATTCTTATTTTTAGTAGTGAGTAAAAAATGAGAAGCTTAAGAAATAAAATACATGATATTAGAATCAAACTAAAAGTAGAGATTATCATCATCACCACTATCATCAGACTAGGAACAATATTGTGGAAGTCATCCTAAGAAGAATTCTATTTTCAAATAAATTATTAGGGCTATTTGGGGCACCATCAAATATTTAAGGTTAACATCATAAGGAGTAAGCAAGCTATCTTAAAAAATGGTTCTTGCAGCTACTCTACTGATAAAAATCTCACTAAGCCATTTCTTATGCTTCAGTAGTGGTCTCTGATTACATTACTTGTACATTATAGTTAAGTGGATTTAAATGTAATTGACCAACCTCTCACTGTTGGTTTTTAAATAAGGACCAAAGCACACTTGGAAGAGAGGAGTATACGAATTCTGGGTGAATAAAATGTAATCTAACGTTTGATTCAGCTGATGGGTAAAACTAAACTAAAGAGCATTTTAAGAATTCCCTTGGTGTTTTCTTTTTAAGCAATTATTGTATTTCCACAGAGAGTTTCTTTGTGTATTTTCAAACATAATCTTAGTCACACTTTCATATGCATCAAGTTCCTTAAGGTCGGTGACTGTATGTTTTCTATTAAAAATGTCAACTAGATCAGGGTGTTTTAAAGTGTACACACTCAAGGAAGTGTTAATTGACTGGTGTCTTTGTATGTGACCTGTGTGTGAATTTTACCTGTCAATTTTGTCATGTTTCCTGGCCAAGAAATTAGTAATTAAAAAAAAATTCCTTTTTATTATTTAGAAGTTAACAAAACAGAAGTGATCTGACATTTTCAGGCAATTTTGACTTCTGAGTTTTACTCAGGTAACAATCAGATAGGATATTTCTCAGGCATCTCGGATATCATATGTCTGTGCTCCCTGTCAACTCCCTGTTTATAATTTCCATACATAGAGGGGCAGAAGAAACATGAATTCTGTTTCCTGTACTAGAAAACTGCTGGTTTGACACTTCCCTCTTCTGTAATCTCTCAGGTACAATCAGGACATCACATTCATTTTACTTGACAAGCAGAACTGAATTCCTTCCCCACTTCATGACCGTCTAAGTTATCTAAGACACTTTCTCTGGCCTCTAGCTCCCTTTTTTTCTCTAGTGCCTTTTCCACACTGTACATGGGGGTTTCCAGATAAGCAATAATGTAAAGATGTTTCCTTTTTTTTGTGTGTGTGTGTGTTATCAACAAACAATTTTCCATTTCTTTTTTTTTTCCATCCAGAGTACACTGTATATTGTCTCAATCAAGCATATCAACAAACATGTTATTATTAGCAAGTGATCTTCCATTTCTTGTTTTCTGTATGTTTTGCTTTTTTCCCCCTATCCTTGGTTCCCTCTCTCTTACCCTCTGCCACCTCCTGTTCTCCTCCCACACTTTCTCTGTTATCTATGTTTGCTTTCTATACCATTTTCCCCCCACATTTTATTGAATCACCAAAGACCCTCATCAATCCAAATACCCTCCTAGCAAACACATGTGACACATTTCCATGAGCACAAGTCTAACTTTACGCATCCTATCAAGTAGCACCTAACTGGGGCTACATATCCTACTGCAGTCATTGAATAGATATATTTTGTTTTCCTGAAACTCTTTTTTGTAACTCAATTTACATTCCTTCTCTAGGCATCATCACAGCACACAAAATGCGATCTCCCATCCAGTACACACTGCATAGTGACTCAATCATGCACATTACAAAAAATATAAATTTCCAATTCTAGTTGCTAGAATTATTCCCACCCCTCTTTCTGACCCTATGTCCCTTCCCACCCTCCTCTCACACCACCTCTAGTGTCCAAAATTGTCCTCCATTCCCTTCCCACCCACATTGCATTGATCACACAATTTCCTACATAACCTGACTACTTTCAAAGGTGAGTTCCCTCGTTACTACTAAGAAAACCAGTTTTAACTTAAATCAAAGAACCGCCAAGGAACTTTGCTTAAAGCCCGGAAACAGGTTAGGATTCTGTTCAAATGGTAGGTGCATGAACCTATCAGTCTCATATACTTTTATCTTCTGTTCTGGTTCAATTTTCCTGATTAAATTCTGGGATATAGTATTCAACTCCAGACTTGTCCCTATGATTAAGTTAGCTACTTTCTCAGT